CAATGAACAGCTACCAAAAGAAAAGAATGTCCACACCTTTATCTCAGCGGTTCTGCCAGGCGTCTGTGGCTGCTTCGATCCTTCCCCCACTTGGTGTCACCCAACATGGCGGCTCCTGGAGCAGCCAAGTGTCCCGGACTAGAAAGCAATAGATTTCTTGCTTCTGCCACAAATTCCCCCAGCTACAAGCTTTCCAACCTTCTAAATATTCCTTTATATGTGGTTCAGAGTTCTGAGACCATACCCTGAGCCTGCTTGGTTGGGTATTCTGTGTTGTTGTTGGCGGAGCTCTTTACTACACGTCCAGCCGATCCGCCGTCTTGTTTGTTCTCTAGTCTATGAGAATTTAAAATTCTGTTTTATATGTTTTGCCTTTTATCAGAATTCTTCTAAAATGTTCAGTAATGGTAGGCAAGCACCATCTAGAGTTTGTTTGTTTCTTCTATCATGGATGTGTGGAGTCCACAAAAACTTTGACATTACCTCCCAGCCTATCCTTATTAAAAGTCTGGATATACAGCTGACATTGTTGGAGATGCCCAGAATCTCCAACAATGTCAGCTCTACACCCAACCTTTTAATAAGGATAGTTTGGATGGTAATGGCAAGTTAATCCTGGATTATTTTTAATCATCTAGGCATCAAATGGCCTCAAATTCATGACACATATTAAGTCCTTTTTCCCATAAATTTAAATTTTCCTGTTTTAATTGTTGTTGTTAAGTACCGTTGAGTCTGTTCCAACTCATAGCAACCCTATATAGGTTTTCCAAGGAGTAGCTGGTAGGTTTGAACTACCAACCTTTCATTTAGCCATCCAGTGCTTAACCTACAGTGGCACACCAGAACTCCTTACCACCCAGCAATAACGCTTTTGACAACATATAATGAATGTTAAGGACTATATGCTTTTTTACCAGAGAGTGTACACAGATTTTATCTCTGTTAAAAATTAAGCAAAAATAGTAGTTTTGCATAGTTTCCATTCAAAGTCTCATCCCAAATGAATGATTCCCTTTATTGTAGACTGTTCTCCCCTAGCAGAGAAGCTGATATGGTGTGGTACTTTAGGATAAGTACTGGACTACTAACCACAGGTTGACAGTTCAAACTCACCAGCTGCCTCATGAAAACCCTATACAGGGTCACTGTGAATCAGAACCGACTTGAAAGCACTTAACAGCAATAGCAGAGAAGCTGTATCAGATATTGTGACTTACCAGAGGTCACAAGAAATCATGTAGTGATCTAGAAATAGAAACCAGAAACCTTTATTTTGAGTCTCTGAATTTAAAAACAAAAAATTCTACTACTAAGAAGAAATTAGGCTTGTTTGACATTCTGGGATAGTGAATGCAAGTCCACAAAAACTATTAGGCAGATGCCATGGTCTGTGAGGACCAAGAAGAAGAATAAAGCACAGGTGCTGCCTGCCTCCAAGGAGTTGATAATCCATAGTGGGGAGAGGTTAGGTTAATGTTGAAAACTCAATCCAATGCAGAATGTGCTATGGACACTCAGAGGTCTGCAGAGGTCATCTTGTCCATCTTTCTAGCCCTTACAGCAAGCAACCAGCACAGGGTCCTGCATGTGATATTTAGGCAAGTGCTATTTGTTTAACAAGGGCCATAAGAGAGGTACTAGCAGAATGCTTTGGGGTTGGTGGAGAAGGAGAGACAGCTTTGCGAAGGAGGTGACATTTGAGCTGTGCCTGGAAGGATGGGGAAGTTTTTTACATGCAGCAGGAATTGGGGAAGGGCCTTTCTTTGCAGGTCTCAGAAAAGAGCAAAAGCTCCAAGGTGGGAGACAAAGCATGGTATGATTTCAGGAGGCATAAAACAGTCTAGTGTGGCTAGAGAATGGGAATAGTAAGAACAAAGGCTGAAGGGAAAAGCTGAGACTTAAGCAGGGAGAACCTTGAACAACAAGCTAAAGAATTTAGTAGTGGACTATCATGAAAGGTTTTGAACAAGGAAAGTAATACCACCAGGATACGGCTTCTTGCTATATCGTCTTGTCCTGCCCAACTAGGCCTTCCTCGCCTTGTTGATAATGGGAAGTTCTTTTGATTGTTCTGTTTGTATGTAGCTTGGTTTAGATATTTTATGTGGTTTCGTTTTTTGGCCTTTCCCTTTTCCTTACAGTTTTTCACAGCATATGGTCCTGATTATGTGCTGGAAATCACGCCAAGCTGCCGGCCAGACCGCAATGAGCCCCACCGAATCCAGAAAATCCTCAACTGTATCAAAGGTGAGCACCACCCCTTAAGTCTTGTTCTTGTTCCACCCAGCTTGTAGTGGCCCCTCAATGGGGACTTCTCCAACTACCATTTGACTTTTGGTAGATAATTGTTTTTCTGAATTGGAAGAGAAACCTCTTCTTGACCTGACAGTTTGTACTTGGAATTCCTCACTGGCCACTCTGGTTGATAATGTAATTTGCCTGGCTAATGTCACCTTCAGAGGACAAAAGATTCAGCTATAGACACTGCTAGTGGAAAACCAGTTCTAAACTGTGCCCTGAAAATCTTCTTTCTTCCAAAAGCTAACTATAAAAACCCTCTTTAAGATGGGAGAAGTTCAAATTTATTCAAGCTTGAGATGGGATGGTGACAGCTCCCAGACCCTCTGTTCCAGGAGAGTTCCTTGATACAACAGAGTCTTAAGAGACTACAATAAATAGTCAGGGCTTCTGATATCTTTGGGAGTGGATTCCTAATCTCATCCAGAACACTGAAAATGGGGCTGCTGCCTATCCTTCTTCTCCTCCCTAAGGCTGGCCTAGAATTGTCTGGTCTCTGGATAGAGGAGAAATGGCAGTCATCAGGTTGATCACACTATCTGCTAGCTAGTATTTGGAGAAACTATCCTCAGCTTTCCAGTAGACACATCCCACCCCCACCCCAACTGCTGCTTTGCAACTCAACGTGCTTTGTCTACCATTCATTGTAAATATTTTTAGCGCTCATTTTCCTGTTTAATTGAATTTGTATGTATGTGTACATAAGTATTTGTAGAGTTTTAAGTGGCCATGGGTATCATATTGCCCGTCCAGGATAATGAAACTTACATTTATTTAAAAAATGAACAAGATAACACCAGTTCACTTGTCTTTGATTCCCTAACTAGAAGGGAATCCAACATGAAAGGGAGGTCTGTTCTGCTCTGGAGTTTGTCTGAGGGAATACATTGTATCCTGTGGATCTTTGCTGAGGGTTATCTTGAGGCCCACATCTGCTAGCAAAACCTATTCTATGACAACAGCAAAGTTCATAGGCAGGGACTTCACTTCCCAGACTCCTGCTCAGAGAAAATTGTCTAAGCTAATAAGTCATAGATTCTTAAGGTTATGTACACAGCAAGGCTTAGCGCCCCTTCTAAAGTGTCGCATACCCTCAACCTTCTTTTGATCTTATAGTTTCAAGCCACATTCCTCTGGCCTTTCAATGGCCCAAACTCCAAAGTCCTCACTTGCTAATCAAATCCTCCTCCTTTGTCCAACCCTTAAGACCTGAGAGTCCTTCTATTTCTGTCCATTCTCCAATTCTTCCCTCTATGTTACAGCTCTGATTAACCATAGGAATCCTATCCTAGTGTCTTCGCAGACCCAGGAAACATTTTCAGTTTCCTTGGGGACCAATCCTGAACCAATTTTTCTTCTGCTTCTATTTCCAACCTTGCCATTTTCCCCCAGCAAGGTTCTAAATCCTGATAGAACACAGTAAAAGTAATCAAAACTGAAAAACCAAACAAGTCTCTGCAGTTTTTCCCTCACACCTACATATTGGCAGATATCTGTGTGCCCTCATGCTTTCCTGCATGCATACCCAGACACATACCTTCCAGAAAGTAGTGCTATCTTGCTGTTGAAGAAATGGTAATGATAAGTGAGAGAAGACATAGGGAAAGTTATTCAAAGGGAAGAAAACTAAGAAAGGTAAGATACCCAAAAGAGGAATGAATTTTAAAAGACTTCATATAAGGGACTTGGATGTGAATTGGTGAAAAATAATGGAAAATTAAAGGACCTGTAGGTTACATGTAAGTCAAGATGTTTAAAGATGCTAACAGATTAAGGACTCCTGGTGTGGCACTGCAGGATCAGCACTGGAATGCGAACCACAAGGTCAAGGTCGGCAGTTTAAACCCACCAGCTGCTCCTCAGAAACCCTGTACAGGGTCGCTATGAGTCAGAACCAACTCCACAGCACTTAACAACAACAACAGGTTAAAGCAATATTCTGATTGTAACAATGAAATTAAACATGAAAAAATGCATAGGCCAGGACTTGGATTCTCAAAAGCAATTAGACATATGAAGTGAAGTAAAAAAGTATTGCTACACGTTTATTCAAAACAAAATGTCAAAACAAAGATGTCTCTGTGATCCGTGGATAGCTGCAGACAAGCTCTCTCAGTAATTAATACACGTCTTAGTCTCATCGTTGTTGTGCCATCAAGTTAGTTCCAACTCATAGTGCACAACAGAACAAAACACTGTCCAGTCCTGCGTCATCCTCACAATCATTGTTATGCTTGAGCGCATTGCTGCTGCCACTGTGCCAATCCATCTTGTTGGGTGTCTTCCTTTTTTTCACTGATCCAACACTTCATTTTACCTAGCATGGAATCCTTCTCCAGGGACTAGTCCCTACTGATAATATGTCCAAAGTGTGAGACAGAAGTTTTTCCATGTTAGATTCTAAGGAACATTCTAGCTGTACTTCTACCATCCCATGGTACTTTTAATATTCTTTTCCAGCACCATAACTCAAGTGCATCAATTCTTCTACAGCCTTCCTTATTCACTGTCCAACTTTCATACACAGATGAAACTATTGGAAAAGCCATGTCCTGTGTCAAGCACTCCTGAGTCCTCAGACTAAATCTTTGCTCTTGAACACTTTGAAGAGGTCTTATGAAGCAGATTTGCCTAATTAGATCCATTGTTTGATTTGTTGACTGTTGCTTGTTTGGATTACTAATACATATTTACAGCTGTCTCTCCTCATTTTGAGTTGTGCCCCATCAACAAATGAAGGTCCCAAGGTTTTACTCCATTCATTTCATCACAGTCAATTGTACTTTGAGGGCACGGCTGTTCTCTTGTCAAATTTTGAGCACCTTCCAACCTTCAGGCATTGTATCTGACAATAATCTGGGTTGTCAGTTTGCCATACTGTGGTGTCTTGCATATTGCTGTGATGCTAGAAGCTATACCATGGATATTTTAAATACCATCAGGGTCACCCACGGTGGACAGGTTTTAACTGAGGTTCCAGACAAAAACAGACTAGAAAGAAGGAGAGACCAACTACTTACAAATATTTAGTCACTGGAAACCTTAAGAATAACAGGGGAACACTGTCAGCACCAGAATATTGAATATTGAGAGGTTATGAAGAACACCAGAATATTATCAGATATAGGTTCAGAAGATGAGCCCTTCAGGTTGGAAGGCACTCAAAATGAGACTGGGAAAGAGCTGCCTCCTCAAAGTAGAGACGACTATGATGGTGTGAATGAAGTAAAGCCTTCAGGAATTCATCTGCTGATGGGGCACAACTCAAAATAAAGAGAAACAGCTGTAAATGTCCTTTAATAATCAGAACATAGGATTACAAAGTATGAATCTAGGAAAATTGGAGATTGTCAAAAATGAATTGGAACACATAAACATTGATATCCTAAGCATTAGTGAGCTGAAATGGAATGGTATTGGCCATTTAAAAAAAAATCTTTTATTGTGAATTATATGATAGTTTACATGGGGGAACTTTAGTTTTACATTCATCCCATCGTATATCATCCATTGCCATGGTTCCAATCCCCTCCATGCATCATCAACCACCCAAAGGGTATATCCCAGAAACCCACCCCTACACTTCCCCCTCCTCCCCCCAGTATTCCGCCCACAGTCCCTTTCCCTCTCTGGGTCCAAAGTCCCCAGTCGCTTCATCACTCCGCATCATCATCTCTGCCTCCATCTCAGGCATCTCTGTTTCTCTGGGTAGGGTCCCGCTCTCAGCTCTTCTCCATTGATGGTCCCAGAGGTCTCCGCTCCTATCCTGGAGATTTAATCACTCCCTTCCTTGTTACAAAACTTCTACCTTTGCATTTGCAACCCTCGTAGTCCGTCCTGATAAGCATTATTCACTACAGTATCATGAGTTACCCATGTGTATCTCCTTTCATCAGCTCTGCCCAGACAGACTGAATAGTACCTACTGGAGATTCTGCCTTCCGCCATGCTCCCTAGCACTCGGTTCCCTCTTGAAAGCTTGTAAGCCAGTCACTTCTTGCCTTTGTAGTCCCCCCTCCCAATTTGAGTATCCAATGTCCAAGCTGCCCTTCTCTGTCCACTCTGTGTTTGTGGGGTGTGTGTGTGTGAATGCTTGTTGCTGTGAGGATTTGTTCCCTCTTTTGAGTTGCTACTCCATAGGTATAGGTCAAGTTCATCAGACTGTATTAGCTCACTCATTTTTTTTTTCCCCTCTTCTTTCCTCTCCTGGTTGAGCTCCGATCGTCCAGTCATCTGGTCCAGGTCACGTGGGTATCATTTGCAAGTGTGGGCACTCCTGTGCATATGTCCTCTCTTCCCATTAGCCGGTAGCTCCACTCTTCTCTCAAGTCCTCCGTGGCCACGCCACTGACTCTGGGCCCAAGAGTCCCCAGGTTTCTTCACACTGCTTGTATTGGCCATTTTTAATCTGATAATCACATGGTTTACTATGCTAGGAATGACAAATTGACTAGGCATTGCATTTATCATCAAAAAGAACATATCAATATCTGTCTTGAAGTACAACGCTGTGATAGGATAATACCCATATGCCTACAAGGAAGACCAGTTAATACAACTATTACTTAAATTTATGCAGCAACCAATAAAGCCAGTGAAGATGAAATTTAAGAATTCTACCAACCTCTTTAGTCTGAAATTGATCAAACAAGTAATCAAGATGTATTAATAATTACTGGTAATTGGAATGCAAAGGATAAAGGATCAGTAGTTAGAAATTATGGCCTTGGTGACAGAAATGATGCTAGAGACCACATGGTAGAATTTTGCAAGACCAATGACTTCTTCATTGCAATTACCTTTTTTAAACAACATAAAAGACGAATATACACATGGATGGACCTCACCAGATGTACTACACCGAAATCAAATTGACTACATCTGTGCAAAGAGACGATGGAAAAGCTCCATATCTTCATCCAAAACAAGGCCAAGGCATACTGTGGAGC